GAATTTCAATATCATTAGCAAGTGAATTGAAAATTTTGTCAGTTTTAGGGTCAATTTCCATCGAACTTCGCTGGTTCGCCTCTTTGCAAATTTCTTTTACATCTGAATTTTCATGTCAAATTTCTCATCCATGGAACAGACTGTTGGTGTGGAAAACAAGGAGAATTTCCAACCGAAGGTTCATTTCGTCTCGTTTCGTTCTTTCCCTATAACGATCATAAGTTCTCGGTGATGATATCGCATGGAATATACCGTCTCATTTGAACAATTCTCATTCCCAGTTACGTCTGCACTGGAGAGTTTTTATTTGATTGAAACGTTGTGATAAGTAGAGAGAAGTAACTTGATGCAAATGCTGAGAAGGACGAATCGTATCTGCTACGAATCTTGTTACATGGCAAAAATGTCCACATCTTGGAATTTTGGAACTGTAAGAACGCTAAAAATTCTATGAATTTTGTGGAGTCTCACCGAGTATTCTTATCATATCGATATCCTGTTGTGGAAATTATAAAGGGACCGCATAACTGTTCGGGATGAGAAGACCAACCGTGGTGGTTTTGAATACCGAGAAGATACGAGAATCGTTCTCATTTCCTCAATGATATTTCTCGTTTTAATGAGAATTTAATTCATTTCGAGATGCAGATTCTAAACAGATTAATGAGGAAATGAAAAAAGCTCCAGGAGTAGTATTTACCCGTTGATCGCACTAATTGCCGTTTGCATGATTGCAATCCCAGTGTTGGTAACGATCATTCTTTGTGAAGTATCCAAATTTTTAAGTGCTAAGGATTATGCTGAGCCAGAAACATAGCTGACACTTACAGGCATATGTCCCCACTTGTTCGGATGAAGGGATATAAGAAAATTGATATGTTATTGGGCAAATAATCAGAGCTTGAATTTTTTTAGCATCCCAATGTATTTCATGTTGAAGTTCATATAGCATCATATAATATAAAATATCTAATATCAGGTAGCTGAAGCGACTTCTGATGTGCCAGTGCAGCAGCTAATAAATCCAAGTGCGAAAAATTCTGAAGAACCGTTGTTGGCTTCAAATCCATCACGTTTCGTCATATTCCCGATTAAATATCACGATATATGGACATTCTACAAGAATGCTGTTGCATCGTTTTGGACTGCTGATGAGGTTCTTTAACATTATTCTTGTCGTTATTGTTGATAATATTATTGTTAATATTGTTAATATTATTTTCCTTATTATTCAGATTGATTTATCGCATGATTACGGGGACTGGCAACAATTGACCAACAACGAGAGATTCTTCATCTCGCGTGTTCTTTCATTTTTCGCAGCATCCGATGGTATTGTCAACGAGAACTTGGTTGGTTTTTTGATTTTTCGATAGTAACAAATGATCACAGTAATAGCAACAAGACTCGTGTAGATAACAATTTTCAATAGTAATAATCATCAGTAACGATAACGACGGCAATATTTATACGATGAAATTAATATGGTCAAGTTGATGTCAATGCAGCATCATTCCATTAATTATGTTTAATTTATAAGAGGTGAGAGAATACATTAGCAGTTTATTCAATTGCAAAGAATATAGCAAAGTTTTGAATTTATTGTTATGAATGATTCGTGATGAATAGACCTATTTGATTGCAGACAAAAAATTTTTCTGTGGAAGTTCAAATACCCGAGGCAAGATTTTTCTATGGATTTCAAATAATGATTGAGGGTGTGCATTCGGAGATGTATTCGAAAATGATCGAAGTCTACATCAGAGATCCTGTTGAGCAGTGAGTTGATTCAGCTTTCATTTGGAGGTCGGATGATTTTTGAGGGTATTCTGAGCTGTTGAAATAAATTTAAAGATGTTATTGAATGTAAATGATTTATTATTAGCCGTATTTCTGAAGTAATAATTATGCTTGGAATGGGTGTGGATAATATGGTGATTATCATTGTGATAACTTTAACTGGCGATATCAATAGCAACAATAGCAATGAGTAGTAATAGTAATAAACTGGAACAATATTGGAAACAATAAATTATAATAGCAATAATGATGATGCCATTAATAATAGTAATAATAACATTAATAACAATAATTATGATAGGATGAAGCATTTCGATGCGATCCATCAGTTTGAATGCATTAAAAAGAAGGCAGATTGGGCGATCCGTTGGATTGAAAATACCGACGAACCGTTCGCGATACGTCTCATTGCGTTTGCGGCCGTGGAAGGTTAATTTTTTTGTCAATTGGACGGATACAGGGTTCAAATAGACATCATCGTTTTGGTATTTCCATTGATGGGAATACTTGATTTTGGTGGGAATTAGATGACTCTCATTCGTGTCAATAAAATCAATCGTTTATTTTGAAGGAATCACTTGTTTAGTTTGAATGAAGTTTGCCTCATTTTTCAAATTGTCTTTGTCAACTTTCAAATTCATATTTGGTGATCACTTAAAGGGATAATGTTCTCGGGAAGTTTTGCTGCGATATTTTGGTTGAAGAAACGTGGCGTTATGAAAGGTTTAACACACAGCAACGAGTTGATTTCACGTGATGAGGTAATTTTACGGTGAACGAATTGAATTGAGTTTTTTCGTATCATTTCTATACAAAACTTTTGCCTGTTACGGGAATCGCTCTTTTTTAATTGATGAGAAATATGTGTGGAAGAAGTTGATTGGATTAGGGTAATTGAATGTGAAGATTGAATCTAGTTTTAAGATGTTTATGCGATGGTACTGATAAGAGCAATGATAATCAGTATAACGTTAATGAAAAGTGTTCACTTTGAGGGTTTGCATCGTGATTTCGCTTGTCTTCTATACAAATACATCGTCAACAAACCCAGCCAAGAAAAGGTTTATGAAATCATCAAAGAGGCTGTTCTCCTCGAACAGGTATTTATTTCTATCATAATCAGTAGCATGATGATTATCGTTTTTTGTTGTCATTATTATGAATACCACCTTTAATATAGTCCTTGAATAATCTTAATAATTAAAGGAATACCTAACCGAGGCGCTGCCAGTAAGTCTGATCGGAATGAATTCAAAGTTAATGTCAGAATATATCGAATACGTTGCTGATCATTTACTCACTGAGCTCAGCTACCCAAAGGTGATCGATGTATTACTGTGATGTTGCTGTATTTTTATATTTTTATCGTAATATTCATCCTTATCATGTATTCACTCATACGAACACGTCATGTGTTCCATCTCGAACATCCGGCGGTATCATCGACATTTTCGATCGAGATTCAGTGCTTATGAACTGCTGTTTGATCTCGAATTAATTGGTTTCATTCAAAGAATTGAAATTGAGAAATTTTGAATGTTTACATCATTACAGTTAGAACAAATTTTCTCTTCATTTCAGCTTTACAATGCGAAAAATCCGTTCGATTTTATGGAGAATTTATCGATTGAAGCGAAAACGAATTTCTTCGAACGTCGCGTCAGTGAATATCAAAAAGCCGGCGTGTTGAGTGTCGAGAAGGAGAAGACGTTCGATCTAGATGCAGCCTTTTGAATCTCTGTTTTCTTTGTAAAATGTCAAAATTTGAACCCTAATTCCTTGAGCTTCAACACGAATGAAATTGTGAAGTAGCGCTAAAATATGCACTTTCAACATTAATGAGAATAAGAATTGAGGTAATAACGATAATGATAATAACCGTAATATTAATGATACCTTGGTGACCAGTTAATCATTTTCGCATTAATTGGTCACCAAAGTATCATTATTGTTAATCCTTTGCAAATCCTTTTTTTTGCAAATTTTCATAACAGAAAATTGCAATATCACTTCCGCATTACTTGGTCAATAAAATATCATTATTGTTATTATTATCATTATTATCTCAATTCTTAAACTCATTATTGAATTTCGACATTTGAGTATTGAATGTCTTGAAATTTCATCTGAAAAATTTCAAATATCTGAATTCAGCTAGTTCAGTTTTTTCTTTTCAAACTCCCATCGCATTTCATATTCTCTGTTCACTTTTCTCATATGATTACCTCGCCGATGAATGAGTATTGCGGATAATATACGATAATTCATATTGCCTCTGTCGTTAATAATTTAGTTACCATTTTGCTTTGATACCATCGTCATTATTGTTATTGCTGTACATTACTTTTACGGATATTATCAAGCAAGATGACTAAATATACAGTCGAGAGGGGGCGTTTTGACTCATTACAAGTTACAGACAGTTTCCGCCTAGGTTATATTTGATATCGCCTAACCACTATCCTTGAGTATTTTTCCTCATTTAAAATTTCTTTTCAATCCTCAGCTTCTTGCAAAGTACTTCATGCCTAATGAAGTCAGTTTCGTTCACAACTACTTGTTATTTCTCCAAAATACTTTTAAGTAGTTTATTTTTGCATTACATTTCAAATTCACACAAATCGAAAGTGTCAATCAACCCATAAAAATATCTACTGATTACCAGTGAAATGTGCACGTTGTTGTTNATTACATTTCAAATTCACACAAATCGAAAGTGTCAATCAACCCATAAAAATATCTACTGATTACCAGTGAAATGTGCACGTTGTTGTTTGCGGCGAAACTGTTAATTATCTCATATTTTTTTCATTGTTCTTCTAATTGTCAGTACTATTCCTGTTATAATGTGATTTATGTTTTTATCATGAAATCCTGAGTTAAGCTAAAATCAGGATTTCATGAAAAAAATGTAAATCAAACTATAACGAAACTGTTAATTATGTCATATTTTTTTCATTGTTCTTCTTCTAATTGTCAGTGCTATTCCTGTTATAATTTGATTTACATTTTTACCATGAAATTCTTGATTTTAGCTTGACTTTCCAGCTGATATTTACTTTCGTGTGATGAGTACGAAAGGCCACATTCTAGTTCGGCCAATTTACACAGTTCAGTTGCTTATCTTTGAAGTCAATAGGATACTGTTTTATCATTTATGGAATTTTATTCTTTTTTGTTCTCATCTAACATCTTGTTTCATATCGCCGTATTCATGTCACTATGGTTTTAATTGTAATAATCCCGGTGTATTGTCTCGAAAAATACGTGTCAACGTTATCGAGCGCTGTTTTTGTTAGTTTTCGCAATGGAATTTTGAATATCTCTTATTTCGTTGTTATGTTGATGAAATTTTATTCATGTGTTGAACCGTATATTTATATCCGTTGCAGTTGTTCAATTACCTTTTGTGACGAAACTTTGACATTTTTCGATATTTCGACAATGAAATTTCACTTTTTCCCGTTTCACTCTTTCTCGGATTACGTCAGTACTGCTTTTTTCTCAATAAACGGAACTTCGTATATTACCTGGATTGGCCAGGCTATCAAACGTTTGTAGTGTTGCTGGCCACAATGCTCGCGTTTCCGTGCTGCACATTGTTCTAGCCTCAATAGTAAACTGGATTTCATCTATAAAATAGTTAATTGAGAAATCTTTAAACAGCAAATGTTTTCCACAGGTTGTTAGCATTCGTCAATGAGTGAACACAGTGAGGATATGAATTCAGATCCAAATATAACAGTGTGCTTTACGTCTGAAGTGCAGCTTATTATTCAAAGTGCATGGCTTTCATCGAAAAAGTTCATTATTAGTTGTGTTTGCAAAATGACGAATATTTTGTAGTCCCATTAGAGATCTATAGTGAAATGCCGAGATTAATGGTTGATCATAACCGCAAGACAAAGTGGTGGTGACGAAGAATGACGACACTACGAAATTTCTGCTCACTGATCCCTTAAAACCAAGAAAGCTGAAATGATGTTGCGCAATGATCTATTCATTCATCCTGTCGCAGCTTGCATGACAAACTGCAAATGTGAGTGAACCGCGAATGACTACTGCGTAATTTGAGTATATTACCAAAATTAATGACATGTGTTTTATCAGTCCACGAAATCCCTGCTCTCATCAAGATGTGAATTCCAGTATCGGAATTAGGACTCAGAAGTTGGGATCTCAAGATCCTATGCAAGCAATGGTTATGAGCAACTGTCGTGGATAACGATGTTCACGATNTTTTGATTCATCCTTAGTATGCAATATCTATCTCTTATCAAATTATTCTATCTTACTTTTCAATATATTGAAAATATATTACTTTTGTAATGCATATCTCACGTCATTTCATATAGCATCATTTCCTCTTATCTTGCCATAGTCTAACTAATATTATAAAATTAAATTTGTTCTGATCAGTGTTGTAGTGTAAGAAAATGGAACGTTTGCCGTTAACGCTCTGCTTCAACACATCCAACTGCACCACACGTTAATAACCCTTTCAAAACAGCAACGTTTTTATTACGGCTAGACTGTAAAAGTTTCTCGTGATTGCTGTAATTTTCAGAGAGAAATGCTTCTGTTTCCGAGCAAACAGCCTTTTCGGCTGGAAAGTGTTCGATTCATATGAACACATCCCGAATTCCTTCTCGTTCGTATCGAATGAGTGGAGGTTTAGAACAAATGAGGATTGTAAGAGCGCGAATCGCTCATCACTCCTCAGTCTCAACCACTTTCGAAAGGAACCCAATCGGCACCACTGAAATTTGGGTAACCATCTCGAGACGGAATTCATTCTGTGTTAGCGTTAGAGAGTGTAGAACTGCCAGGCCTGGGTCATCGGACAGGTTCAGGAAAATCTTCTATATCAGTGAAACGAGGAACTTTGATCACGAATGCATCAGATGCATTGAGATGTTGTGAACACGTAGCATTAGCTGACATCCTCCTTCCTTCTTAATATTGACTTGTATTTATATTGTTAATGCATATTGCAGTTTTGCAGAATTGATAACATCATTCATACAAATGCACTTAAATTGTATGCAGCATTTGACAAACACATTCAACCTTTCGCATCATTCTCACAGATGTATTCCATTCTCAAATATCTGAAATATGTAATTTGACGTCGTGTAATTCACATTTCGGTTTGTAGCCTCAATTGTTGCCAATTCTACGAAATTTTGTATCTCATATTGCTTAGTTTATGTGCATGAAAATTGCAACAAGATCATTTCCGACAGTAGCCATCGTTTATTGCTTATTGATGAATGCTTATTCATCGTTCGTTAAATTTTGCTTTTCAAATTCCAAATTCATCGTTTTGTATATTGTTCTCTTCATTGAGTCACGACCTGATACTTCAATATATTTAACCCAAATATCCTTTACCCGAAATATATTTTCCAGTCTCGTGCATATCGATTGCCCCGGATGGTATCAACGTTGAAACCTAACTCAATTGCCTCAACATTCTTGCTACCATCTTCCAATACCCTGGAACGTGTTTGTATTTCGCTACAGTTTGCCAACGCATCATCTTTACAAACACATTCAATTTTATGTACCATGCTCATAAATGTATTATGAGAATGATGAAACATTTACGAGAATCATGCATAAGATTGAATGTGTGACCCAAAAAAGTGACCACTGACTACGGCACCAAAGAATTCTTGGGACAATCAGCTGAAGCTGAGCGCAGACGTGATCGAGGAGTCAGGTTTCGATCAAAATTGCAGGAAGCTTGAGGTGTGGGATCGTCAGTCCTTTAACTGGCGTACGATGGCTTTTGGCCATAATGAGGTTGTAGTCCATGTCTGATTCTACATGTGAGACTGCAGCATAAGCGAATTTGGACGCGTCAACAAAACAATGGAGTGTTTTTGGTTGACCGATCGTGCGAGTGATCTCAATTGATTGACTTTGCTCGTCGTNATGTGTATTATTCTCTTCAATAAGTCACACCCTAACAATTTGACATTACCTGGATTACCTAAATTGGCCAGGCTATCAAACACTTGTAACGTTGCTGGCCACAATGCTCGCGTTTCCGTTGTTTAGCCGCACATTGCTTTAGCCTCAATCTACTCCATCCCGCTGGTTAGGCGAGCAGGCCAAGTGAGCATAGCCGAATAATTAATCAGTTGCCGTGAATACTTTGCATAATTAATCATAGCCAAATATCAATCCAATAAGTAATCACAACTCTAATAAAATAAATATTCTGCCGATCGCTCACAGCAATTGACAAAACAACCACTCGATGTCTGGTTAACAATAATAATGAATACCAATGAATAGTGCCTGGAGGCACCTGGTTGTATAATGAATAACAATTTGATATGCTTAGCCCCAAATATCCTTCTTCCAAATTATATATCTTCCAGTTTTGGACAAATCGATTGCCCCAAACGTTTTGACGCAACTCATGTGCCTCGGCATTCTCACTGCCATTTTCCAATGCCTCCGTAACATGTTCCTTTTCCTTCGTAGTTTACAGTTATTGTGCTACAGTAATCATCACTACTGTTATCACTACTCTCGACCTCTTCTATAGTTATCATCGTCGTCCCCAAACATTGAACTTCGTTGGAACCATCTTCATTTTGACTTCGTATATCATTAAAGTCACCTGTCCTATTACTCTACTCTGTTTAAGAAGTTAACCTGGTTGATTAGATACAAGCCAAGTTATAGCTTGGCTTAGGCTCGGTTCCGAGTGGTGTATC